GGATTTTTACCAAAACCTAATCAAATCTGCGCATTGGCCCAGAGTATCTATGCACCAAGTTTCATCAAAAACCGATGCATGGTTCTTGAGATAGCAGTGGAACAGTCGGACACACATACACACTAACTGCAAAGACTCCCATTATGTGCTTCGCACATGGGAGTCAAAAATTCATGTACACAACGAAGTACAAAGTCAGGAATACATGAAACAACGCTTAAGACATTGTTTTACAACTTGATTTTATTCACCAAACTTTCCAAATTGTATATATTCATGCAAACAAAGCTCTGGGTTGATGTTCTCCAATGATGATGGTTCCTGCATATTTCAAGTTATACCACCATGGAGAGTTCAATTGACTATGGCAGGCATTAATAATCATCAATGCTATTCTCAAAGTAAGCTATACATGTAGTATGCTAGTTACTTTAGACTCATTTAATATACATCACACACACTATCTGCCACTGGCTATTCTCAGTATTTCAGAGGGGAAAAACAAATTCATTTCGAAGTAACTAAACCATTTACTGGACTGTTGCTTCCTGCTTTGCTAGATTTCTTTCTTCAATCATGCGATATTTTTGTTTCATTAGGCATCTTCGAGCTGATCCAAATCCGCCAAGGTTGCCATCTGTTGAAAAAGCAGGAAAGCAATGTTAGAAAAGTTTGATTTCTTTAAAAAGAAATAACTAAGTATCCTCTGAGCCCACGCTTGGGCGGACACAAAATAGCCCCTTAGTATATGATGAAAAGCTGCCTAACAAACTTCACTGTATTGCCCTATGCTTTGAGAAGACAGAAAAAGCATAACTGCACTATACGGCACCACATTTGAACAATATGGAACGATATCAATAGTTGTGTTCACGTTACACGAAGTACGGGCTAAGATTTAAGCTGATTTAGGCTTATCTAGCATATTTGCATTTCGGCTAGACCCAATTGCGTCCACGCACAGGGAGGGCCAGTCGTTAACACGGGCTAAGGGCTGCCATTAGTCGGTGACCTTTGGTAAGCCGCTATTTACGAACGAAAAATGAATGACATGCGCGTGGTTCTATTTCTGCTGCTGGCATGTTTCGTTCTAATTTTGAAGCGACGTGCACAGGAACGCGAGAGAAGACGGACCACTTATTTGGATGCACATAAACAGTATACAACGGGCGTAACAGAATACAGCGTTTTATTAATGCATGTCGTAGACAGCGAACCAAATTTATTTTGTCTACGATTGGAGCTGCTGTACGCTCTACTACAGTGACCCGATTAGTGTGGAAGTGAGCGCGGAGTAATGACTGGTGGAATAGTGTCGTTATACAAACATGGGACAATTTTCACACCCAAAGGTCGCCGCAGAGTGCGCTTAGCCCTGGGCTAAGCATTCGCGCATACTTCGTTAGCCCGTGCTAAGGTCTAGGCCGCGTCTTAAATTCGGATCAGATTTAACCCGTACTTAGCATTCCTTAGCCAGTGCTAAGCGTTCACGCACGTTTTCTTAGCACGGGCTAAGGAATTTGACCTCTTAGCCCGTGCTAAGGAGCTGTGCGTGAACGCAACTAATGTTTGTGGATTTGGAGTGTCAGTGATCCAGTTGTATGCCCTGAGTACATGTGCTTACACAAAAGTCATTTTCAAACAATTCAATTTGTTATTTTGAATGTATCGAAATCTATTGTGAGTGACCTCCGCCATATGTGTGACTACCTCAGTAAGGAAAAAATTACCACAAGGAAGTGTATTACTTGGCAAATCAAAAGTAGAGATCTATGGCTTGGACAGAAAGCAATGTGAATACTTAAAAAGCAAAGTAAAACAATCAATAAATGTTAATTATTTACTTGTGAAGGAGTAACTTTAATTAAATCTGTATGTCAAATTTAGGAATTATTATCAAACTAAAGAGTGACACATACAATGCTTGTCAGTTTCATGTATGGACTGTATGGTATTCACAACGACAGTTGCTACTCAACTGATTCACTATGTGTACAAGACATTCACTCACAGAACTTGACTTACATTTGGTATTATAGTTTGTGGCTTCCCTGTCATATTGATCGACTACTGATTTGCAATTTTGGATGGCACTTTCACCTTCAATAACCCAGCAGTCTTCCATACGCTTTCTCAGGATCTTGGTAATCTCCTCATCAACTCTCCTGCACAGATTAACACATTCATTATTTTAACAAGTGCTGTCAAACTGAACTCTGAATCTACCATCTTTGTTCAATCGTACATTTTAAGAGAATGCTTGGCACAAACAAGCCATGCATATAAAAGACAAATCAACTTTCATATAGATCTTGCGAACAAATCAATACCAAATATCAAGCAAATTGGAGAAACAGTCAGATCCGTAATCTACTGGTAATCTAGTGAGAACTGAATGACAATTATAATATGGTTCTAAATACATGGTATACATATCAGCAGTGCATACTTCTTGGGACATTGGTGAATGCCTGAAGAATATTACAGTCACTGCTTCAATTTTTCCACACATCAGATCTGCATTTTATACTAAATTTCCTGATAACAAAATACCGTTATTTTTTCTGAATATCTGAATGGTCTCTTTCTATGGTCATTGTTCAGTCACACAAATCCATCATTTGGGAAAACAGTTATAGCATACACTGTACAACTATACTGCAATGGAAAACTTTTTATAAACTGGAATTGTAGTTATATATTTTTTTAAAGCGGGGGAGTCGTCACCTACGCATGTGTCAGATGGCCACAGCGTGTTATTTTTATCAAACAAACGTCTACCCATGAGCCTTTGCATTTTTAGCGTGTATTGTTATCGGCACTTGGGACTCAATTCCTGCACGTGCATAGATGACGACCCTCTCGCTTTAAGCTTACTTGTCTCTCTTGAATTGCATTTCTGCTTCATACATGCATGATATATCATTAACATCACATTGATCTATGTCCGGAACACGTCTATATTGCTGATGGTAGTATGGATATACATTCTTGTTTTGTTGACCTTCAATTTTCTCTGGTGGAAATAATATAATATGTGTATTGAAATACATGTACAAATGTAACTATAATCTCAGTTTAAAACAGACTGTGAAGGGACAGATGAGTATACCATGCTGTGGTAAAGGGGTAATTAATTCTTGCACACATCATTTGAAGCTGATGTTCATGAATTTGTAGATACAGGATAGACTTGTACAACAAGTTCAGCTTTATCCACTTTTAAATTTGACAATACTCATCTAGGCTTACATTGCATAGCATATTGAGAGCATCATGTTAATATCATTTGTGACCATTGTTACCGGTACCAGGTCAGTGTTCTCCACAATCCAAAATAGCTGGTGGGCGGCCTAATTAGCATAAATCTGCATACTAATTTACATGTCATTTACATACATCATTCTAGCATTTATGTCATGAACTGCAATACACACTAAGTTATTTATTATTTATTCTCTTTTTAATTTAATTGAAACATGTTACAATTTTTTCAAATACAAACAGATTGGTCACTATTAATATTTACGAAATGCAAAAAGTTTGAAATCGGTGATTTATACGTTCACAAATTATTCTGCGTTCATGAAATGCAATTCGGGTAACCAAGAGCAAGTACGAGTTATAATGTAGAAAATATACGAGGTGATTTGTTCCCGACGCCAAAACGGGCGATTTGTCAAAATAAAACTCATAACATTTTTTATTTGTGGCATCAGTACTCACCAGTGCCGACGGACGGTAAGATGCATTTACGTATATACGGTCTGCGGTCACGATACGTTTTCACACGTTGTTTTGGGATTCAAGAAAAATGCTAACAATCGGCAAAATAAAAGAATTTGCTATGTTCTCGAAAGATTAGACATAAAAAATGGATAAATGAAAAAAAGTATGTGGAAAAGATAACTAAAATATTATTCAATTACAAATACTCGCGGTAAACTAATCCGGCAGCCATGTTTGATGTTTATTACCGCTTTCCGAATTCAGTACATGAACACCCAGAATGCGCTGCTCCCCTATGCAACTTAGATACCAGGGTTCTCCACGGTTTGAAAATTAAACAGGGCGCGCCAATGTGAAGTGGGCGTGGCACATTTGTAACGTGCATCATTGGCAAGGATGTTGAAAAATGGAAACTAAAAAATCTATTAATCTACATATTATTACATATGCATAATATATATTTATTATTACAAAATGAATAGGAATTTTGAAGAGCTATTATTAAGTAAACGTCAGCACGTATAAGCAGCTGATTTTAGCTGCACGA